CTCATCATCAACACCCACATATTCTTCAGCATTATCAAACATATCAGGCTCCCTATCTGGCTCTATGTCAGCAGTTGTCTCTGGATTCTCAGGAGCAGCACTATTGGGTTCTTTAGGCATGTTAGCAGCTGCCTCTACTTGTCTATCAGGATCTCTATGTGCCTCTAAATGAACATTTGCATCATCAGTAGGAACCACACAGAGAGGCTCAAGTGCGTCAAATTCAGCTTCCACACAAATTGCCCTATCGAAAACACCTACTATAACCTGGCAGTTCATCTCCTCCTTGTACATTTCAAACAAATCAAGCATCTATATCTCATTAACTAATCTGGCATCCTCATTCAATCTTTTGTCAAAGAACCAAACTGTTGGTGTCTGGTTACTACTCAGATTCAATTAAGTTGCCAGAAATTTAAGCACAAGTCAAGTGTCATGGACCCATACTCCACATTCCACTTAAATGTATGGCCTTTTGTGTATGATTTCTTACCAGTCGTGTCTTTGGACGCAAATCCTTCCACTTTAAACTCTACCGAAAACATGCCATCCCTACCATGCAGTAAATCGAACCCCAAATCAAAGTGTATACATGCACGATACATCGATGCCACCACACAAATCAAGCCTAATCCCATACTGTGATGACCACAACAAGGCAAAGCAGGAGAAAAGGGTACCTGGTGGCGGTGTTCTCCATCGCAGCCGCACCAGCGCGCGGCGTGCCCGAATCCACCGACGCCATCAGGCCACCTCCATCGCCCCCACCGGACGCACGCTGGTTAGGATTTGTCGCCGTCGCCTCCAGTCGCAAGCTGACGCCTCAATCGCCACCGACGCCTCCAAATCGCCGCCGCCAGAACGTGGTTAGGGTTCGTTGGACAGAAGACCTGGAGTAGAGAGAAGAAAGGAACACCAGCTTCAATCCTGCCTTATCCACTTAACCAGGGGCAATACGGGGCAGTAAACAAATACGACGCCTGCAAGTGGGCCTAGGTACGTTTCAGGCGTAGAAAAGGGCAAGGGTGAGGGACAAGCAGAAATGTAATGGTAAATTTACAATAACGTGAATTGTAATGGCGTTTTTCAAAGGTTGGAAAATTGTAATGGTGAGAAAAAAAATCCCTAAAATATAGATGTTAATCTTAATATTTGGATGTATTGTGCTTGCCTTTGTCTATAAGAATCTACACCCTTTATTTGCCATGATCTATGCCTAATATTTATCTCACAATTGATGCTTTAAAAGAGTCGATTTTCATTTGAAATACATGAACATGTTGGATATCGACTCTCTAGTCGATAGCCTCGCACATTGGCTTCTTAGAGCCGTACATTATTTGGAACTATCTGGAGCAACACCAGCATGTTCCACCCAAAATTACTGATTAGTTTTCTCTCCTTGTCAATTGCAGGTCAAATTGACTGGCACGCACTAGTCCATCAGAACCGACCGGCCCTGTGTTGAAGCTAAGCGGATCTCTAGGCCCAGCCCTGTTCGGATCTATCCGGCTTGTTGTGTGTTAGACACTTGCCACATTTTTGTGTCAACAATCTGTTATATATAAACTACACAACCAAATACAAAAAAAAAATAAAAAATGTATTCACGGATGGTCTTCCCAACCACACATGCAAATGCATTTTTTGATGCAGCTTATGTTTCCAACCACTCTGATAGATGAATTTCTATATATAGATGTCTGGCAATGTCACCCACCCATGAAAATCGATTTGTAGAGATAATTGATGTTCCTCCGAAAATTCATTTTTAGGGATGATCAGAAAAACGCCCCTAAAAATTCTTGATTGTCCTTGCGAGACGGTTCACACAACCACCTCTACAAATCAATTTTGACCGTCTCTAAGAACCGGTTCCGTAGTATATACTGTATACTAGCTAGCTCATATGTAGCTAAAATCCTGCTGAAAAATATTTTGTTAAATAGGAAAAGTATCCCTCAAAATTAAAATTAAAAGGAGAAAAATGTTGATGAAAATGACTGGTTCGACGATTGTTTTGAAACAACGCCACCTGCTCCGGCATGCTTTACTGTTTATCGTATAATATATACAACTACATGCGCCGGCGTCCTTAACTCAAGACTTTGGCAGCAACTCATATTAAGATGGATGATTAAAGTAATTGGTATAGGCTGATGACCATCACATGACTAGACTGTTGAGTAATAAACAATATATATATATATATATATATATATATATATATATATATATATATATATATATATATATATATCATCACAAACTGCAGTGTACACTATTACTTTAATAATGACTAGTATATTACCCGTGCTAACGCTACGGAAACATTCAAACATGCATATTAAAACAACCAAGAGACAGTTTGCTCTTTGCTGTATAAGACTTAGCATTTACAACTTAGTTGGTTGTCATTTAGCACTCAACATGCACCATGCAAATAAACATATGATCAGAAATTCCTTTTTAGTGAAATTGACTTAAATCTCTTCAAACACAAAAAAAAAAAAAATCAAGCCTTGCTGAAGACAAAAAATGTTTGTTGCACCCGAAACTTTCTAACTCTCTCCATATCAAATGATTTGTCATCATCCCCAGAGCCTAATTTCATTGAGCAAACTTTTCCATTCATTCACAAATCATTCTCAGTAGCCTAGTGACAAGGTCGTTATACGATCAGGAAGGTCATCCCATTCAACACTTGTCAGCATGACGCAGTCTACTCTTCAAAGGATGTTATCTGTCAGATAATTTGCAGCATAGCCATCATCTTCAATGTGTTTATAACTGACAGAGATCATACCCCCAAGTCACGACTACCATGGTTGTCGTGGGAGGCTCTAGGGCATCCGGTAGGGGAGGCTTTGTTGCTGATTTTCACGACGCATATATTCCATGAATTTATGGTATCTGCAAAACAGATATAGTGACAGATCATGACATGAGGCCTTGACTTCGTAAAAGAGCAAAATATTATGGAAAGTGACTATGAAAATGCTTGAGAAATAAATACGGTTCACATGTTTCTGAACAGCAAAAAATTCATACAGAAGGCATATTGCACATAAAAAAAATCCATACACTTAAAAAAAAGCATATAGAAGGCTACATCACATTCATTTGTGCTAGCATCGCCATTTTCATGACCGAGCGATCCAGGTCGAACGTGGCAAGTAAATTTCCTAAAAGATTGATCTTGTTGAGTTGCTATTGTCAATGCTAAGTTATCTACCCAACAGACAGAATTGCAGCCCACTTCTTAAGGTTCTCCAGCAGTACATCCTAAGCACATGTAAATCCATTCTAGAAATTCATATGTACTCGTTGCCTCTTCTTTAATTTTCTATTGCCCATTCTCACTATACAGATCATCAAGAAAAAAATGGATTTACGTATGAAAATAAAAGAAGAGGCAATGAGTATATTGCCCGTGCTAACATTACGGGACACATTAAGGACAAACTTAACTGATATAAATATGCATGTCCGACAGTATCTAAAAATGCATACACAATAAATAAAATAAAAGCCATCAGATCCTGGACACAAATTTGTACCTCTGACATTGAAGCAAGTACTTGTCCTGACAGTTGATTAGGCATGTGAATATCAGTAATGCACTTCAAACAGAAATCCAGTCTCAAATTCAGAACACATACCATGCACTATCAAAACTCCAAAACAGAAATCCAGTTTGGAGGCAACAACACTGCTAGCAACTATGGAAAGGTTTGATACAATGTACCCCACTCCGCAGTCAACAATAAGCTGGTACTCTGGATCCTCCTCAAGGATGGAACCTTGATTATAGAAGTTAGTGCCTTTCTTGTTAGTTTTCATTCTTAATATTCTACTGATAAAGGCTGAAAAAATATTCTACTGATAAAGCATTGCAGTCAACAATAAGATGGTACTCTGGATCCTCCTCAAGGATGGAACCTTGATTATAGAAGTTAGTGCCTTTCTAAAGTGGATCTTCAACTTTCTGCAAACAAATGATAAAGAGGGAAGATTTTTACAGTAAGTCAGCGAATCCCTTGAGGGAAACCCCGTTAAAAATCCAATTACACAAAATAGAATTAACTCACAGGATAGCCTTCATTTTTTGACAGTTCATCAAGATCCTCAACATCTCCATCTCGGCGCTGGAGCAGGTGGCTTCAGTGCCGGGCATGCACCACATACCATTCAATCAGATATTTTTATTCGCATCCACACACACTGCTATATCCCATGGTCCCTCTAATCTCTGTTACTTCCAGTTGCTCCAATCATGTAGCTTTTAGTGATCAAATCACGTAGCTTAGCTTTCAGGAAAGGGGAGTATGTAGTACCTATTGCCGTAGCTTTCAAAGATCAAATCATGCGTTTCAATGAGGAGTGGCTGCTGCGATGAGCTCTGTAGGAACAACATCCGTGCATGAGGCCATGTGGACCAAGATCGGCGCAAGGCACCAGAGCCAGCCGCTTGCAGTTTCACGGCCCTGCCCAACTGCGGCGACGCTATAACACAAATGGAAATTCCTTGAATTTCATTGTTTTAAATTAAACTATGGTCCTAATATGAAACTAACAAGAAAAGAATTGTGACCGTGCCACTCTCGTTTGAGGTGAACATAATAATCAACACCTATCAGGTACCTTGGACTGTTCGTAATGCTTCAGAGTGTTATAACTTATACAACCTCTACAATAGGTAGGTTTGCAGCCATATTCTGAGCCAATAGAATTACAATAGAATAGACCATATTTTAGTTGCCCTAATACTCGTAACCTTTTGCGAAACCATAATGCATTGTTAGAGTAAGTAAACCACCCATAATATACCTACGAAAATCAGACCTTCACTCACTGTTGGTAACGGTGATTTGGCGATAGCCTCAGAGCTGACAGATTCAAGCCAGGATCATGAGCAATAGCGAGTCCATGATACCTTGAGTGACATCAATTCAGCACTCCACTGCCTGCCTCCTCTATCTTGACTTCTTTGTTCTTCTTCAATCCTCGTCTTCACTCTCGGCTTCACCATTCGGTGCTGCATATGCTTTGTCTAGAATTGGAAGGCTACCATCGCCTGGAACACCTCCACCATCGCCAACTCGATCTGCGTGCCCTTTCCCCTCAGGCTTCAGTTCCAGCAGCTGCAGGGCCCTCGCCACTGTCAGCCCTCTGCTCATGCACCCCTTATTGTGCGACTCCTTCACCACGAGCTTGGACTCGAACATCCTGTCCTCATCCAAGCCGCTGTCGACGAAGAGCAGAACGATAGGGTTAGGGGAAGGAGCGGGGTGAGAGAGGGGACGAGGCGGTGCATCGCCGTCATCGGAGGGGAGAGGGTCCAATCGTCGAAGTCCATCTCCTCCACTGGTCAGTTGTTGGATGCATGGTCCATTAGGCCCGCTGTTGTGCGACACAGGTGGGATGCGGCGGCGTCGGCGAGGCGCGCACGGAGGGAAGCAGCCTCGTCCCCTCGGCGGTGGCGGCGCGGACCTAGAGGCGGCGCTCGGCCTTCATCCAAGCAGCGCGGTGGCAGATCGAGGCCGCCCTAACGTTCTGGCCGCCGCATCATATCCTCGTCCGCTACTTTTTCTCCAATGCCGTCGGCGTCGGTGGCGGCATACAAAGGGGCCAACGGACGTCCGCCGGCGCTCTGCTAGAAGCACGATGAGGCGGCGATGGAGATGATGATGGCGTTGATGACGCGGTCGTGTGGCCAGTGGCGTGCACGTGACGGCGGCGGCGCTGAACAGCGACTCGAAGAGAGAGGATGCGTTTTTTCTGGAGAAATTCAATTCAGACGGAGGAAGCACGAGCTACCGCGGCCTGCAAGCCGCGAACCAGCCACCGCCGCCGCCCGCGCGCTAGAATCTGGCCACGGCGAGGCTCGGTCAGCAACGCCCCCGGCCAAGGAGCTCCGGGGGAGGAGCACCGGGGAAGAAGGGGTTGGAGAGGCGGCGGTGGTAGAAGTCGCGCGGTGTTTTTTTTTCTCCCTTTCCGCGTTCACTCGAGCCTTGATTTTTCGGAAGAAAAAAGAGACAAGCAGTGGGCTCGAACCGTGGTCGCCTCCTGCGGCCACGGGGGAATTGACCTGTTTGGTTGCCTGTTGGCTTATTTTGTTGTCAGATAAAAACACTGTTCGTTAACTGAAAAAGTACAGCTTATAAACCAAGCGAACAGGACGAATAAGTGCGGAGGGAGGACGTGCGACTACGGAGGTGGAGATCCATTGAAGGATGGCCATCGGATGTGGTAGCGTAAGGAGAGAGAATAAGTGAGAGTAAATCCTGTACGTTTATTTTTAGGATGTTGTTTTTCTGGATGTATAAGTTTGGGTGGACGTTGCGAAGATCATGACTGTGGAGCAGCAAAAACAATTTTTAGAGACGTCCTCTTTTTAGGCAGATGGTTATATAAAAAATTGTCTCTAAAAGACTTCTCTGCATTTCCAACCGCCACTCAAAATAATACTCACTCTTTTTAGATGCGGTTAGAAAGCCAAATCGTCTCTAAAACCCCCCTATTTCTAAAGGCAGCTAGTGTTTCTAAGCACTTCTAGAAATTGAAGTATTTTTAAAAATGTTTGGAAACTCCACCTGTCTCTAGAAAACAATTTCTAGAGGCGGCATGCAGCTAGCAATGTGCCCCATTTTAGCCAAAAAAACATAACTTTTCTAAATCGAATCAAGTGAAGGCAAACTTTATATAAAGTTGTATAGCTCGAAGAGATCTACAACTTTGGAGTTGACGACTTTTTTATTTGAAAATCATTTATGGCTCAAAAAATATGTTTTAAATTCTCAAATTTTGAAAATCAAAATTTCCACTTTTTTTTTATTCAAATGACCTTAGATGGATAGATAACCTAAACCAAAGTTGTAGTAATCAATGAGATGCAAATATTTTTCGTTCAAACTTTTTTCATTTTAAATCATTTAAGGGCTCAAATATTTATTACAAGATTCATTAAAGTGAATACAAAAGGATTGTATCATTTATTTGGTCACAAAGTGACTTTACGGTGGACATGCACACTTTGGTTGATGCAGGCAATTTAAATGTGCCTTGGTTGCTTATTTTTAAATATAATAGCGGACATGCACACTTTAGATGCAAATTTAGTACTCCCCCGTTCCAAATTATATGGTATACAATACATGGTGTTATTGCAGGATATTTGTTATAATGGTGTAGGACGAGGTTACTTTAAATTAGTGTTTATAATGTCTGGTAATTTAGAAATGTTAAGTGTTACTTAGGTTTATTTTTCGTAATATATAGTATATGCGGGTAATGCATATACAGATTTGGAAACTATTTTAATAATTTTAAAGGTGGATAATTTTTAAGAAAATGAGCTAGATCATCCTATGACTATTATTGTTAATGATGATTGGAATATACCGATCCGACAAGCTGTTGGTATACTTTTCAAGATTTTGTCTCTTTTTTTTCTACATCTCGTTTGGATTAGCTTGAAAGCTAGTAAAAGCCTGTAATTAGTAATAAGAAGATTGGTTACTCATCACAAAGGCCGTCAATTGTATCTCTAAATGCATTGTACTGAGTTTGTTCTCCTTACAGCTTTAGTATGAGTCCTTGTACATAACCCTCTAGGTTATGTAAGCTAGCATGGTCAACAAAGAACCAACTCATAAGTCGTAAGTGACATCGTATAGCCATGGTTATATATGAAAAAAAAACACAGGTTTACCTTGCTCTTTTCTGTTATTTTTAATAAAAAAATAAAAGCTTGCTCTGACGATATTGTTATGCTGGTGCTCAATGGCCCTGACTCATACATACATCATGATGAAATGAGGCATGCATTCATTGGCCAGCGGTCGTGCACCACATTTGGTGGTGCGACTCCTACGCCTCCTAGGCATTGGCAATTCGGCATTCGGCGTGTTCGGCTGGCTTTAAGCCGGCTGGCTGACTGGCAAAGTCAATTCATGGAATCATTATTCATGTTCTGTCAGAATAGTATTTTTCTCTCACAACAATCAGTCAGAACAGTATTTTTCAGTCCTACCGAACAGGCCCATTGCCATTAGCAACAGTGACGGCCTATTAATAATCCATCATCCCTTCTTGTCTTATTTGGAGTCTCCCTCGCCTCGCAATTCCAATTTGCAACTTGCAATACCAACAGCAACCTACAGCAACACCATCACCTCCGACTCCGACTACTCCGATCCTCCCTCCCCACACTACCTTGGTCGTGTGGGTCTTGGTTCATGCTGTCCACTCCAGCACTCCTCTTCTCACGATAAGCGCGCTGCCGCCCGGCCAGGCCATGTCCGAGCTCCAGGACGACGGCGCCGGCGGAAATGGCCAAGACGAAGCCGCCGCCTTCGCATCGCCGGCCAAGCGCCTCCGCAGGTCGCCGGCGCCGGAGCCCACCTCCGTGCTCTACAACCGCAGCCCCAGCCCGCCCACCTCCTCCTCCCTAGCCTCCTCCTCCGCGCCCGAACCGCCGCCCATCAGCGCCGAGGACTGGGAGGTCGTCCTCTCCGGCGGCGACATGGCCGCGCCACCAGCCGCCGCGCGGTCTCAAGACACCTCTTTCCTCCGCTGGATCATGGACGCCGACGCCCAAGTCGACGCCTTTGATCCCTTCCTGCCTCCACCGCCTTGCCAAGAGACCGCCGCCGTCGAGCCCTTCTTGCACCCGCAGCCGCAGTTCCAGTTCCCCGTGGCCGAGGAGGACCTCGGACCAGGGGCGGCGGTGGACGAGCTCCTCGAGGCGGCGCGCCGCGCCGACACAGGGGACTCCACTGGAGCGCTCGAGATATTGGCGCGGCTCAATCACCGGCTCCCCTCGCCGCCGGGGCACCCGCACCCTCCTCTCCTCCGCGCCGCCGCTCACCTCCGGGACGCGCTCCTGCGCCTCTTCGTCACGCCCGCGCCCGGCACGCTCCAGCCCGGCTCCGTCTCGACCCCGCTCGACGTCGTGCTCAAGGTCGCCGCGCACAGGGCACTGGCGGACGCGTCGCCCACTGTCCAGTTCGCCAGCTTCACGTCCACACAGGCGCTCCTCGACGCTCTCGGCGGCGCGCGCCGCGTGCACGTCGTCGACTTGGACGTCGGCTTCGGCGGTCGGTGGGCTCCGCTCATGCAAGAGCTCGCGCTCCAGTGGCGCCGAGCACCCTTCTCGCCGCTGCCGCTGCCGCTGCCGTGCTTGAAGGTGACAGCATTGGTGTCGCCGGGGTCAGCGCACCCCTTGGAGCTCCGTCTCACGCACGAAGGCCTGACGCGCTTCGCCGCCGAGCTCGGCATCTCGTTCGAGTTCAACGCCGTCGTGTTCGACCCGTTGGACACGTTTCCCCCCACGGGGTTGTCCGTCGCGCCCGGCGACGCCGTGGCCGTTCACCTCCCCATCGGCTCCGGGGCCCCGTCACCGGCGTTGCCGACGACTCTCCGCGTCGTGAAGCAGCTCCGGCCCGCCATCGTGGTGTGCGTCGACCACGGATGCCACCGCGGCGACCTGCCGCTGTCGCATCACGCGCTCAACGTCGTGCGCTCCAGCGCGGCGTTCCTCGAGTCGCTGGACGCAGCCGGCGCGCCGGCGGACGCGGTGGCGAGGTTGGAGCAGTACGTCCTGCGTCCCAGGGTGGAGCGCCTGTTGCTAGGCGACAGGATGCCTCCATGGCAGACCATGCTTGCGTCCGCCGGATTCGCGCTGGTGCAGCTCAGCAACGCCGCCGAGGCACAGGCCGAGTGCCTCGTCGGGCGCACGCCCACGCCGGGCTTCCATGTGGAGAAGCGGCAGGCGGCGCTTGCACTGCGGTGGCGGGAATCGGAGCTGGTGACGGTGTCGGCGTGGCGGTGCTGAAGAACTGATTCCGGCACTGGCACAGTTCCTGTAAAGATTGAATCTTTTTCTTTTCTCGTGTTGTAAAACTAGCTAACTTGCTGTTGTCAAGGTCAAGCTGTTCATTTTATAAAATTTATTTGTGATGATATAGGGCCTGTTTAGACGAGTTTGAGATTCTTAAAAACCATTTTTTGTAAATAATTTCTAAAATCTGGATTCAGGATGTTTTGATCGTAGTTCTTAAAAATCTGGCTTCATCTACTGCTCATATGGTCACAAGAACCTGGCAATATAAATGCTTCATATCTGTAACCATTATTGCCTAGGATAATGGCATCTCCAAGGCAAGTTTGTACAAAAGTAAGTGATCATAGTAATTAGGTGTCTATTTAACTCACTCTCTCTTCC